CTCGAACCTCTTTCCTCCTCAATAAGACCAGAGCTGAGAAAGGGCACAGACAAACTCCTGGGCCAAGGGCCTCCTGGCAATCTCAAGATTAATCATTAATGCTGTCACTAGTCTTTGCTGTTCAAACTTTCCCCTTTCAAAGTCACTGGATCCTGTCCACAGTGAGTGACAGGAGCCAGGCCACCAGATGGGCCCCCAGTGATGATCCCACTCATGCCCCGCATTTCACACAAGCTTGGGTGGGAAACCAGGTCCAAGGCAGGGCAGGGCCAGGCTGGGGCACCCCTGCACATTGGCAGTATCATCCCATCTCACTGGTGAGGCACTGAGGTCCTAGGAGGCCAGGAAACTTCCCCAAGGCCACGCTGCAGAGTCCTTGTTCCCAAAAAACGTGTCCTGTGAGGAATCCTCTTCCACACTGTATAGTACAGGGACCTACCTACCCTGACCTGGAGGAGGGAGGGAGTGCGCCCCCTAGGTCAGGCAAGAGGAGGGGGAGGAAGAAGGCAGAAGATAAATGCAGGGAGAAGGTGGGAAGGGAAAGGATGGGGAGGGGATGAGAGGTGGAGGGAGGCGAGGAAGGGGAACGGGAAACCTGGCCAGAGGGAGGCACAAGCTTGTGGACAGTGTTCACTGAGCACCCACCAGGCGGGGGGTGTGGCTTCAGGAGGAGTAGCTCTGCACTGACAGCCTCTCCCTTTGTGCAGACCCTGGGTAAGCTGCAGCCGCTCCTAAGTGAGCATGAGCCCAGCTCTGGTGTGTGTGTGTGTCCACCGCACCTGGCACAGGCAAGACACATGAGTGCCCAGAAAACTTGGACAAGTGGCCCCGGATGGCTTTGGGAAGGTGATTCCAGGGTGTCAAGGAGCACAAGAAGATATCGGGAGGTGATAAGGTAGAGGACAGAGGGTGGAGGGCTGGTGCCAGTCCGTGGAAGCTGGAGAGTTGTTCCACCAGCAGAAGATTTATAAGCAATGAAGAGTTGTGAGCAAAGGAGTAGAATAATCAGCTTTCCATTTAGAAAATAGCCCTTCAAAGGCCAGGGAGCAGAGATGAAGGGGGAACATGTAGGCAGAAATGTACCCTGAGGCCCTTTTCTGGATCTAGGGTAGAGGTGATGGGGGACCAAGCTGAGCAGGAAGGCAGTTGGGATGGCAAGTGGGGGACAGAACCCAGAGACATGGAAAAATGAGAGGAGTGTCTCCTTGGCCCACCTCCTCACAGGTGGCAGGAAGGAAATATCAGGAGGAGGCAGTACAGAAAGCAAGAAACGGAAGGCAGGGCGTAGTTCACTACACAAGCCTTAGATCGGCGGCTGAGAAGTTCAGCAGTGCCTAGGAAGGAGCTATTATCTATCTGTATGTATTTGTCTCAGCCAACCCTCTGCATTGCCCACTGATCAGGAGGGAAAGATGAGGGCAGCTGAGGCAATACACGGAGGCTGTGGAGAGCTGGGATGAGAGTGTCCCATCCAGACCCCCAACGCCACCTCCAGGAAGCCCAGTCAGGCAGCACCTGCCCTTTGTGACCTGGCCCTCCACTGAGAAGCCTCAACCCTGAGATGAGGAGCCCCTCTCCTCTGAGCTGTTTCAGGTCTCCTCGTGTTCATGGTGAGTTTCAAGTCTCGTCTAGAAACAAGGGGTATGCCCAGGTTTCCATGTGGCTTCCCCACCCATGGGGATGGACATAAACTCGGACTCAAAGGATGAATGGTAAAGGGGGCTCGGGAACTGTTTGGCAAGCTCAAGTGACAGCAGTCAGCTTTTCAGTCTTTAATGTTGTCTCCAGGTTTTAGAGTGGGGGAAACTGATCTCGGGGACAAAGCACAGGCCCAATCTGGAGTAGGGTGCTGAAGCCAGGCAGGGAGCCTCTTCCTGGGCCTGACCCATTAAACAGACGGGCATTCAGGGCTCCTAGAATGAGGCGAAGCATCCAAGTGCCATTGGGAATTTCTGGCTATTTCAGCACTAAGCCCCTCCCTTCGTCAACCTCTGACCATTTCTCTTCCCTAATCTTACAACCCAGGAGCTGGCAACCCTTCCAGCCAGTCAGATCCAGGCTATAGCCTATTTTTGTACGGCTAGTGAGCCAGGAACAGGTTTTACATTTCTAAATGGTTGGAAAGAATTAAAAGAATCATATTTCATGACACAGGCAAAATGTATAAAATTCAAATTTCAGTGTCCATAAATAAAGTTTACTAGAACATAAGGCTGTTGACATATCTAAGGCTGCATTAGGCGACACAGTAGAATTAAGTAGTTGCAACACTACATGAACACAAGGCCTAAAATAATTGCTATCTGGCACTATACAGAAAAAGGTTGTCTACCCTTGTTCTAGGCTCATGCAACACACACACACACATTCCTCAATTCAATTCAATATGCAGCTGGACTTTGATTAATGATGACTTTTGTGATCTTCTTTGGACAAATATCTGAGTCCCTGGGTGTGCCCAGATCTGTGTGAGAGGGTATGTCTCAATGTCCGTTTGTCTTTCTGGTGTTGCTTGTCACTATTGTGCCCCAGCTCTCTGGCAGGTGTCATAGAAAGCCTATATGCTTCCCCAGCTGTGTGTCACTCCCTCTCTGTGTGTCACTGTGGGGGTGGCTGCCACCGTTTGCCTCTGACGGCATCCAGAGCTCTGTACAAACACGTTGCAGCTGAGGAGTCTCCAGTCTCCACCTTGCCAGGCAGCTGGACCACTAAGCCCAAACCATCCAGACCCTGGAATCTTAGATTCCTCTCTTCAGGGATGGCTGAGGGTCTCCAAGGCTTTAGGCCTTCTGGGGTGGAAAGCCACTTGGCAGCCCTTGTTTGGGGCATCAGACCTCTGCTCACAAATCTGCCCAGGACAGGAAACTCGCTGTAACCTCCAGTGTCTGCCCCAAGGTGGGTGGGTCTCAGGAAAGCAAGGCCTTCCTGGCACTGAGCTAAGCTCTAGCTGTGCATTTGGCACACCCCGATTCTTCCCCGTGGCAGACAGCACAAGGTGTCCTCCACTTAATCGGTGCCAGCCCTAGGTCAATGAAATGCTTGTCCCTGGGAGGGCGGCAACCTGGAACACTCAAGCCTAGGCCCTGTCCCCAGGAGAAAAGCCACCCTGTGGCCTGAGCTTTCCTAGCCTCTCAGTCACATATACTCCCATGTGTGTATTTATTTCTTCAACACAATTGAGGGAGTGCCCCAAAGTGGACGCACAACAGAGAGGTGGCCATGTGAAAAAGCATGGGTCCAGAAGTGTTTCTCCAGTCAATCCCCTCCCAGCCTGAACCTTATACAAAACGGGACTTAATGCACCCCTTAGCCTAGATGGGTCCTTAGAGTGCAGGAGAGGGATCCTTCCAGAGGCTCCCCACAGATACCTCCCCTCACGGTACTTGGGGGCAAACAGACTTTTAGGGATCTTGTCCCAGACACCCAGTCACCTATGACCAAAGAGGAAAAGGACCAGGCCCGCCTTCACCGTCACCCCACGCACACTTGTTGATGGATTGGTTGGAAGATCTGGCCCAGGGCCCACTCAGCATGTTCTGTCTCTAACTTGTATGTTCAGATTTCAGCTTGTGTCCACGCTGGTGCCTCTGCCTGCCCTCCCCAAGGTCATTGAGGAGCAGGGCTTAGCTTAGGACTGGGGACTCCACCAGTCCCACTTGTACCTAGCACCAAACTCATTTAATTGGGGTCTCCTGAGAAAACCTGAGTGCTGCCTGCTGCCCCTGCCCCCAAAGGCTGAAACACAGTTTTCCATCTTCTTGAGAATCCTAGAGCCACTTAAAAGCCTTCTAGCCTGACCTTCAGGGCGCCTTGCCTGCCTCTGGCCAGCTGCAGCGTCAGGGCAAGTTGCCCTCCACATGCTGCGTCCAGCCCCTCCCCATCCCCCAACTCCTCCCCAGGGCTGCTCACGGAAAGAACCAAAAGCTGTGTCTTTGGAGAGGGCCGGCGGGGCGGGGGGCTTTGTGGGTCATTGTAAGGCTGGGGGAAATAAAGGGAGTCTGACGCACCTGCACTCAAAAATATAAAAATGGTAAGAAGAATTAGCAGGTGTCCACCACCCCACCCCCAGCCTCTTCCAAAGGGGGCCTGAGCTCCATCCAGGGGTGAGGCTCCGCTCCTCAGCTCCAGGTGAAATGCAATCGGTTTCTGGCTGGGCTCCCTCCTGAGGGTCTAGCTGCATCCATTGGCTCCCCTGTCCCTTCTGAGACCCCTAACCTGCCAAGGTCCCACAGAGGATGTGGCCTCCGCCCCCAGCAGCTGCTGCTTTAAAAAGCCTCTGCCTTTAAAGCGGCAGGCAGGGGTCTCGGCAGGCCCACTTCAGCCTGGGGAGGCCGGTGTGTTTCCCCACAAACCCCGCAGGGCGTTTCTTCTGGGGACCACCTAAGCCCTGGCATCCCCAACCCCAGCCCCTCCGCACCGCGGGAAACCGAGACGGCGCTCTTTTAAACAATCCTGAATGTTTCACCACAGAGGGGCATTCTACGCTGGCCCCTACCACAACCCCTACCTAGCACATTGCTTGCCCACCCCTCAAACCCCATGCGGACTGTGGTACCTAACCCCGGGGGACCCTCCAACCTTCCCATCCACGTAGGCACGTCCGTCCGCCTAGGGGTAGGGAGACATGTCCCTCTGGGTCCCTCCAGCCGCATGGCTTTGCTGCCCCTGGTCTCCCTTCTCCGCATCGGGAGGGGTGCAAGATAACTAGGCCGACCCCTACCCCAGCAGGCTGCGGCGATCGGCTGCCCCAGGCGCGGCGCCAGGCACTTGGGTTGGGGGGTGTCTGCTTGACGCGCAGAAAGGGCGCAGCAGCGGAGGGGGCTTCGTTTCGGATCTGGGGAGGCTTGCCCGGCGCCGGCCCTGGCCCTCGCCAGCTCTCGGTCAGTGGAGGTCGCGGCTGGCGGAGACCGCCGAGCCAGAGGAGGGGATCCGAGGTCCCGGCTTGGCGAAGGCTCTGCAGCCGGGAGAAGACGGCTGAGGCGTGGAGGGGCAACCCTTACCTGCTCACGGGGGGCCGGGGCAGACTCAGCAAACGACGCGCAGCCAGCGAGTCCGCGGCCAGCGCCGCGCGGGGATGGGGAGCGGGTGTGCGGAGGAGCGCGCGCCAAGCTGGGTCTCAGCGCCTGTGTGGCCGTGGGCGGCCGGGGTCCGTGTGTCCCTGCGCAGCGGCGTGTGCGTGTACGCACGCGGGGACCACGCTCGTCCGGAGCAGCCGCCGCCGTCAGTCCCCGCCCGGGGCCGAGCGCAGCGCCCCCCTTCGCCCGTCCCGCGTGGCGCGGCAGTCCAGCCCGGCTCGGTCCTGCGGGCCAGGCGCCGCCTCTGCCACCAAGCCAGGCCGTGCGCTGGAGAGAGCCGACCGACCACCGCCTCCGCCCCGACCCCCGCCACCCCACTGCACACTTCGCAGGCTGGGGAGGGGGCGCTGCAGACCAATGAGCGCCCGGGGGCGGGGTTAGGCCGAGGGCGGTGTGGTCGTGGCGCGGGGCTGCTAAACCCGACCCCATGCGCAGCACAGACCTGAGCTGGAGCTGCTGCGGGAAATCCCAGTGGCGGGTTGGGGGGCGCTGAGGCGGAGGTGGCAGCCCCATGTCCTTCCCATGTCCTCTGTCTGTGGGCTTCCGAGGCCAACCACCCTCTTTCTACTCTCCCCATCAAAGCCGGGACTAGAAAGGCGCCTTTCTTCTCCCAGGTCCTCAAAATTCCCAGTGTGTCAGAGCTTGTCTTCCTCCTCCTCCAGAAAGCCTTCCTTACCAGGCAAGTCTCAGACCCTCCTTGGGCTCTTCTTTGCCCCTACAACTCAGGCCTGAGAGGGTCAGCTAGTTTTGGGGTGCCTGTTGGGATGTACTCAAATGTGACCGCCGCCTCCAGAACGACCAGAAAAGGGATGGTGATGCTTACAGGGCAGAGGCAACTTCAAATATCAGACTGCCCGGCTCCAGTCCCTGCTGCAGGACAGCTCTGTGAGCCTGGGTAAGTGACTCTGCCTCTCTGAACTTGAGCTTCATCTGCACAGGGGAACCGTAGTACTGGCCCCCAGGGCTCTTCACAGCAGCGTTAAATAAAAATGGTGCACTCACCTCATAGTAATTTCTCCCTGGTATCATTCATTCATTGATGCTGAATGAATTACTGTTAAGGGTGTTATTACGGCCCTGTCCAACCTCCTCCTAGTACAAATGACTTAATGAGAAGAACTACACAGGTAAAGATGGCATAGGGGGTTATCGGTGAAACCAAAACTTAGCTGAGAGTAGTTAGTTACCCACTCCCAGGCAAGTTCTTACCTTCTGCCTGCCCCCAGCCCCCAGCCCCCAGCCCCCAGCCCCCAGCCCCCAGCCCCCAGCCCCCAGCCCCCAGCCCCCAGCCGCTCCTGCCTGCCTCTACTGTGTTTTTGGTCCCTGCCTCGGGTCACTCTGAGAGTTCTGCAACCAGGCTCTGTTCTTGCCCTTTCAAGTAAATTCTTGTTCAGCTTCCCTTTGGGTTCAAGTTCTAGGTATAGCCACCTTGTTGAGGAGGCCTCCGGAGGGGGAAGAAGGAGGGAGAGTCTTGAGCCTTCCTTTGGGGACTTCAGTCTACCAAAGAAGAAAGAACCTGTGGATGGAGAGGATTCCATATGGAAACTTGAAAGAAGTGATCTGAGGTTCCAGAAAGATGTGTTAAGGTTCCTAGATCCATGTTTCTCTTTGCTGACCAAGTGGCCACTGATCCCCACTGGCACAACACCCTGGTAGTCTGATTGGCTGATATTCCTTTCAGTCCAGGAAAGCTTCCTGGTGGAGGAGAAGATCTGTCTTACCTACATCAAGAAAGAATGAAAAGAATAGATAGAAGAAAGAATGGAGAGAAGAGGGCCAGGTACTGTGCTAAAATCAGACACATAGACAGGACCTCCCTCTAATCCTGGCTAACCCCTTCTTAGCTTGTTGCCCTAACCCTTGAGAGCTACTTGCTTCATCTGCATCCAACTCTGGTGTTGTGAAGATCAAATGAGAGGCTGTGTGCAAAAGCTCTCTGTAAACTGTGAAACTAAGTGTGAGGGAAGGAAGGCTGCCAGGAGCGTCAGAGTCAAGAGAGACTCAGAGTGCAGGGTGTACAGGGCCTGGGAGTGAGAGGAAGGGTGGAGATCGAGGGCACCTTATGGCAGAGCAGCCTGTCCTGGGAATGAGGATGGCCAGGCTTCCAGATAGAGCGCACCCCACTCCAAAGTTCAGCATTGACTTCCCGATTTATTCCCTTTCCATTCTCTGGGTTCTCCAGTTTCCACTGTGGGTTCCAGATCCCCTGGAAGGGGCCAGTGGGGCTGGAAATCCAGATCCTACTCTGCCCACTACCCACCAAACCAGTCATGCCCCCATCTACCCAAAAAAGGGGCACTTTCTTCTGGTAGATCCACCTGGAGGTGACACCTCTCTTACCCTCTCCAAGTTGCCATGTGGGCTAGTAGCACTTGTAGACTTCGATTCTAATCCCACTTTCCCCCAGTAGCATCCGCCTGGAACAAACATCAGCTGGGATCCAGGAGGGTTGTCTAGTCCCCTTCTCTATGGGTGGAGTGCCTTAGCCTAGAGGGACAACAAGACTAGCCTGAGGAGACACAGGCAACTTTCTTATCAGAAATCTTATCCTGGTGCCCAGCTTAGTAGTGTTCTACCTTGTGAGCTCTCCCCCAACCCCTTAATTACGGAAATCAGGCCAGGCTCTCTCAGCCCACGCTATTCTTCACCTGTCGCAGGCATGCCACTGTGGTCTCTCCAAACGGTCTTGGAGGAGGAGCTATGCCAATTCTGTTCCCCGAGACTAAGCCTCCCCAAGGACATGGCCAGGGTCTCCCTCTTCTCTGCTTCCCCACAAACTCAAACAATCAACTTCACCTCAAGATCTAGCCCTGACCTTGTAAGCCAGCCAGCTTACCACTCCCACCCTACCCCTGCCTGCCAGCCTTTGGGAAGACTGGAGGCAAGGGACCACCCCTGGGAAAGGTTTTCTCTAAGAGGACTCCCTGAGCTGCCTTCTCTCTCCTAGGGAGGGAGGCTGGGGGCCCCCTCGCCAGCTTTTTCCCTGCCTTGAGGTGCTCACTGCCTCACTCCCTTCCACAAGCCAGCCAGCCAGGCGGGCAGTAGCTGAAAAATAAGGGTTTTAATTCAATTTTCTGAGACATGGCTGAGGGAGATGGATGCCAGGCCACCCTACCCAGCATTCATCTCTCCTGAGCAGCAGTTTCCTCCTTGATTACAGGGCCCCCACCCCACCCCACCCCACCCCACCCCACTTCAGCTTTTACACTGCTCAGGCAAGAACAGCACACATAAGGACACAGGTGCTTTATAGTAGATAGCTGACATTGACCAAATGCTCACAACATCTTGTATCAATGCTTCTCAACCCTCTGGGTGCTGCAGACTCCCCCTGGGGAGTTTGTGAAAATTACCTACACCCAGGCCTCGCCACCCAAGATAATTAGACAATTGGTCCATCATGAGGCCTGGGCCAAAGGATTTTTTACAACTCCCCAGAGCATGCTAATGTGCAGCCACGGTTAAGAACCCGTCTTCAGCCCTCTGCTAATGCTTTGCGGGCAAGAATCCCAAGGTAGCATGCTCATATCTCCAGAACAGGTGAGAAGTATGCTGAGATGCTGGTCCCTCAGCCCTCTGGGCAGCCATAAGCAGCCTTTTCCATTTTCCTCAGGAGACATATAAATGTTTTCATTTTCTGCAGGCAGCAGGGTATGGAAAGGCTGGGAAGTAACTGCCATATGTGCATTGGCCCATTTAATTCCTGTTTGGGGAATGGTGAGAGCCTTCAATGCCAGACTGTGAAATAGTGTTTCTGTCTATGGGAAAGCTTCATTCAGAATGCCCTCTGGTCTCCTATATCTGCACTCTGGTCAGATGGCCAGAGAGACTCTGAGAAGCCCCAGGTGCCTCGGGGACTGCTCTCTGGAAAGCCTGGAAGTGTTAGAGACAGATTAGAGCAAGCCACAGACAGGCTTTTGAAAGCTTAGCCCCTGCTAAGGTGGGCAAGCCATGCCCATTGCCCCACTAAGGCCTTTTGTCCCTGAATACACAGGCTGCAGAAACATTCCAGTAACAAGGCTGAGTTCCCCTGGGAGGCCACCCACCCCAGAAGCATGTCCCTGAAAGTTAGGTGCACTCCTGTCCCCTGCTGTGTCATAGAGGAGCCAGGAGGTAGCATCCTCATCAGATGAACCAGTGCCATCTAGAGCCTTGGACCCTGATCTCCAGGACCCTTGGGATCCTCTGAGAGACCAAGGGAATGAAGGTTAGGTTGCCTAGATCTATGATTATCAAATTGTACTCCAAGAGCTCTTGAAATTCTTGAAGCTGCATCACAAACCTGGAGCGAAGAAGGGATACCCATGTTCAGAAATGCCTGGGAGCTCCTCAAAGATTAGCCCTGAGTCCTCTGTGTCCCCCACCCACCACAGGGCACAGCGATGGGTGAGGATGAGCAAGGGGAGAAGGGCTGTTGGGAGTGCGGGCAGGTGGGACCCTAAATGCTAAGTGCAGACTTGACCATTAAGCACCACCTTTCACAGATGAAGAAAATGAGAGTCAGGAAACAGAAATGATTTGTTCTGTTATGGGGCTAGCTAGTGACAGAGCGGGGTCAGCATGCCAGTCCTGTGCTCTATCCCCAGAATCGTGACCTTAGAAGGGAAGACATGCCTCTACAGAGTTGGAAAGTGTGGATGTGTTGGGGGTGTGGGGATGGTGGAAGAAGTAATTTCTTGAAGCTTGGAGCAACGGCAAGAGACACATATGAAGAGTCAAATGCCCTTAGTCTCTGTCCTCCGTGTACATAAATATCCAAATGTACCCTCATACCCAAATGAGCATATACTCAAATACATGTACTTATTGCTACACCTGAGTACACTGCCCATGCATACACATGCAGATTTCCATTTAATATGTATGCCCAGAGGTGCATTTACATAGAGTCCAAGTATGTGCATGCACCCATGCACAGGCATGTGGGGGGGGGTGGTGCACGCACGCGCACACACACACGCCCTCCACAGATCTGGAATAAGAAAGTACATCTTCTCTACTGAGATAGAGGTGTTCCCTCTCCTGCAGACTCTCAGGCAGGCAGTGGGCCTGTCTGCAGAGGCATTGCGTCATCGCTGTCAGGAAATTCTTGTCAGACAGTGAGTGACATTTCCCATTCACCTGCTATAGTCTCCTCCCAGAGACTCAGCTGTTTGCTCATGGAAGCCGAGTCTTCTCCAGGGCTCCTGGTTGAAGGAGAATGAAATATTTCCAGTCTCACCTCCAAATCTCTATTCACAGGACTTTCTTTTCTTATCTCTGCCACATCCTCTCCTCTATCTTCTGCACATCCTGGCATTC